ACCCCAACTTCTCCTTGCTGTTATTGAAGTTCTATCTACTACTAACGCAGAAACAAAATAGCTTAGTTCCTTTTCACACTTAATTTTATGTCTCCTGTACCTGGAAGGTAAAAGTTTTGCCAGTATCTCCATATGATATTGTGTTGCTGCACAAAAGGCAATCTGCTCTCCTCTTCAATGTGTGGTGCAGCAGAATATGGGGACTTACTCACATCCCACATTTTGTCAGCTATTTTTCTTGAGTAGCACTGATACTTTGCACTTGTTCCCAGAAAGAATAAACCAGCCTAGTTTTTTTTAGACCACTCATTGATTTGTTAGGATTATTATGCATCCTAATTCTGCCCTCCCAGCAGTCTTTGAGTTTTATGATCTCTGCTTATTTAGTCAGTGCACTCTATTCAATACAGGTCAGTGGGTGATAAACAAAACTAGCCACAGGACAGACCTAAAAAGTAAGATATCTTTCCACTTTGATATAAGGACATCAACTCATCAGTAAACACTCTCTGAAAATGCTTTTCAAAGTGCTTTGGAATTCAGCTTATAGCTGTTTTAGCTAAGCCAAGTTTCCAAAACATGCAAGACAGTATCAAAATCTAAAGCCCAAACATCTGATTTTCTTTGCTCCATGGGGCACATAACTCTCATATATGCATTTTTCTTCATATGACCTATTCTTTAAAAATTCAAGTTGGCTACTCATCTTTTTGTCATTTTCTTCCAGGTGCTTAAAATGCTTCCCCCACACCCCAAAAGTTCTTCTTCCATCTGCAGTTATTTTTTATTATTCCCCATTCCTTATAGTCTTCATGTGCATTTAAAGACAGATAATACACTGGAAAGCTGAATGTAGTAAACGTATTATCTATAATGCAGGATCTGTCAAAAATACCTAAAAGTACCGAAATTATTTAAGCTGTCTACTAAGTAATGGAGAAAAAATTTAACTTTCACAGTTTATTTTAGAGTAACACAACCAGTCTGAGTACTTTCAAACTTTTTCTTTCCCTGTTTCCAGCTAAAACCATAACATTTCCACCAACCACAATGGGAAACCAGTCCCCCCATCCACACTGACCACTGTAGTGAAAACTGATACCAAAAAGAGAAGGAAATTACAAATGTCAGTCTTTCACAAGCATTAGGCAGCAGATGTTAGCATATTGGTCTGATTTATTCAGAGATAAATACTATTTCTTCCAGCCTGCAGGTAGAACAGTCGAAGAGCTTTGACTTTTATAGAACCCATATGGGATAGCTACATAATGAATACTCCATATTATGCCTGAAGAACATTAGTAACTAAACTGATATAATCAAACAGGAGCTCAACAAATTGCCTTATAGACTCAAGATACTGGACAGCAGAATGCAGTGCCCTGCATCTGCATCTCTAATTAAAACACCATGGAAGTCAGATGTGCTTGACTCCCATTACAGTGCCACAGCTGTTGCTCTAAAATGAGCTCATGGTCTCAGTCCAGTTCTTGGACACCAGTACAAATAATTTTTACCAAAGAAACGAAATCATCTAGAAACTCCCATATTCCTACTATCCACTTCCATTAAACACTACCCTTTGAAAAGAGTTAGATGCAGTAGTTATATTTTTTGTTGTCACTAAAATCCAGATCTCTCCAGAGTTCTCCAAACATTAATATAGCTGAAAAATCTTAATGGGACTGCAAAGTGTTACAAAACTTTCTTCTGAAATTTCTACTGTAACTGTTCCAATTAATTTCTTCTAATAATTTCAATCCTCTTTTACCATGTTCTGGAAGAAATATATTCAAAAGAAACTGCAGTGCTGAGAAGTAGCCATTAGAAATTCTGAAAATAGGCCAGTTATTGCTGCAACCCATTTTGGGAAAGTCATAAAGATGTAGGGAAAATACAATAATCACATTCACAAATGTGCAATACCAATTACACTATCACAGACATTGCTATGCTGTAGGAAAACAGTTTCCACTGCGTGCAGGATTTCCATATGTGTCAGGAAAAAAAAGAGAATTGCTGTCTTTCCCATAGGCACATTGGCTCCCTGTATTGGAGGCAGGAAAACAAATTTAGGATTTTCTCAGGTTATAAGATTGTAACTCTTAAGAAGTCAAACACATAGTGCTTCCTATTTAATATATTAAGAATGTATATTTATGCATATTTCTTCAAAATGGTTGAATCATCTTCCTTCTGCCCCAAATTATTTCAGTGACACAAACCTTCCACGTATGTCTCAGTTCTCAGAGAAGTAAGGAGCAGGGTCAGTGGAACTGCTATGCTGGACTCCCAGAGGGCAGACTTTGGCCTGCTTATGGCCCAGACTGGCAGAGTCCCTCTGGGTCCCAAAGGAGTCCAGGAAGGCCTGACATTCCTCAAGAAGGAAAGCATAAAGATGCAGAAGCAGGCTATCCTCATATGCCTAAAGACAAGATAAGCAGGAAGCAGACTGGACAGAAAGTTTTGGCTGAAAGTCACAACAAAATGGAAAGTTTATGACCTTTGCAAGAAGCAGTGGCAACTCAGGAGGAGTACAAAATGTCAAGAGGACATGCAGGGAGAAAATAAGAAAGGTCAAAGTCCACATAGAACTTAAGCTGGCTACTGCTATAAAAGACAACTGAACATTACAGCTAAACATATATTAGCAAAAAAGAGAGTCTTAGGAAAATCTCCATCCTTTACTGAATCTGGAGTGAAATGTAGTGACAAAGGATGAGGAGAAGACTAAGGTACTTCACACCTTCTTTGCCTCAGTCTCTAATAACAAGACAAGTAATTCTGTGGAAGACAGGGATGGGGGGGCAGAATGAAGCCCCCATAATCCAAGGGAAAGTGGTCAGTGACCTGCTGTAGTCATGGGCCTGGATGGGACCCATCCAAGGATCCTCACTAAAAGCAACTGGTAGAATTGCTCACTGAGCTACTTTCCATCACTTACCAGGACCTCTAAAGGTATTTAAAAGTCATGGAGATGTGGCACTCATGAACATGGTTTGATGGTGGGTTTGGCAGTGCTGAGTTGATAGTTGGATTTGATAATCTTATAGATCTTTCCCAACCTAAATAATTCTATGATTCTATTACTATTCCACAATATGCAGGAGTCTGGAAAATGCATTGGGGAAAAAAAAAAAAGAAGTTAAAATGTCTGTTCTTTTTCATCTAGATGTATTTTTCAACCTAACTTGATTAAGTATAAAATAATTTAAGGGTTCATATATGTATATACTAACTTTCAAAAGCTACACAAGTTATATATGTCTTCCTCACGATACTGACTAGGCATCATCTCTCAGAGATTATACTGAAGCCATGCATTCAGTATTTTCTCCATCAAGACAGCCAGAAAATCAAGACCTCTACACTTCAGCCTGATTCTTTCTGTTGCACTTGGAAGTAGGCCAAATTTCCCAATTTAATCAAGAAAGATGTATTCCTGCAAGCTCTGTTTTACCTTTACCTTGTTTTTAACCTCTCACCCACAATCTTGTTCAGTTGAACCGTGAAGATATGAACATGAAACACAGATGGATATTGTCACTAGTAACAGGTTTTCTTTCAGTCACTGAAACATTCAGATTACTATTCCAAGCCCCTACTTTAGAGGCCACCTGCTGTTACCTATGAAGAACAGCAGACAATTACACAAAATACCAACCTTTCTTCACTGCAAAGGGGATTCATCTAACATATTGCAATACTTCTTTGCAGTTTGACTCAGTAGAAATTTTACCTTGGGTGACAAAGCCTGCAAACTTTCAAAATTAACCAATCTCCAGTAGTGCATTCTGCCATCTTCCCACCTGCCATGTGCCTCATTTCTGGGTAGTCCATCTTCTGCTCTGCATTTGTTGTCTTGGCTCTCTGTGCCAGACTTTGGCAATGATCATACCAGACCTAGCTGTGAGTCTGTGACCAAAATACCATGATGTCCCTTTAGCCTTATTTCAGAGGGAGTCACCTAGTTTTGCTCTCCCAAAACAATATTCTACCTTGCAATCACATCTGCTTCAATTGCTGTTTCAAGTTGTATCACCTGGCATGCAATTGCAGTGAAAGGCACCTCACAGAGCACAGGCACTGAACTATGCCTTTAAAATCAAAGAGTCTGCTCATTTAGAACCAGCTGCAAACTTGGGATACTGAAGCTCAACCGCACTACAAGAAGCACTGAGCCAGAAAAGCCTTGCTTACAGTCAGTGAACTGACTTTCTGGTCTGACTTGCCTCTCAGAGTATTTAAAAAGATGACTTAAGATCCAGTTATTTACTTACATAATATCAATGCTTCCCCCTGTGAAGGTAAGCATGTGTCTCACCAAAACCAGAGTGACCAAAAGATAATTGTGTCAAAAAGACTGGAAATTTTGCAGTTATGAACCTCATGAAACAGCTTAAACTACCTTAAATCTTAATTACAAACATGTAAGATGAACAGATGCAAAAGTGTTACATTGTATGTAAGAATGTGGCAGTGGAAATGACATATCCTGAGGGCAGATGATTAGCAACTAGCTCAGGAATTTGATTAAGTATGTGAACAGTAATGCTTACTTCACAATTACAGGAATAAATAACTTTCCTGTTTTATATTATTATACTGATTAAAATAGTGCTTCAAATACATATGGATTGCAAAAAAAAAGACATTTATGGTGATTGAGAGGGATCTTTTCTTCTCCCAGAATCCAACACATTACTTTGATGAAACATTTCAGCAACATTCAATCTTTTAAAATTAAGACAATTAAACTGGAACTTTGCCTCAGACAAAAAAGCAGCAGCTTCAGAAGTAAGTGTTCTTAGCTACTGATAAAAGCATGTTATTTGCATACAGTACAAATTCATGGAAAATAAGGTTTCTTGTCCCTGATACTAAAAGAAAAAAAAAAATCATTATCCAACAGTGAAAAGCAAAGCTGAAATTACATGGTCATGGTCTGAATGTAGAACAGTCCATGCAAACAAGAAAAAGCTTTACAAGTTGCACAAATTTAAAATGATTTTTTAGAAAATAAGTTTTATTTGGCTCCTTTTGTACACTTTTTCTTTAAAAAAATGCACATTCATACAGTTTGCCCTTCCCAGTGCATGTCTGGATTTGCTCACATAGAGCATTAATATCAAGGTCAAAGATGCCTTCACAATAATTTCAGACTCATTGTATTCTGGCTGTAAAGCATCCAAAGTTACTAATTTTCTGATTACAACCTGAAAATCAATGTTTTGAGTGTTTCTTCTCTGATTCACATACATAATCGTCCCAAACTGGGAAGAGGAGACAGACCTGCAATGAAGAACCGTCAATGGCAAATACTCCTTTCAGGTAGAGCTAACGGTAGGGTCCCTACTTCACACTGAGATGAAATATAAAAGAAATACTCAGCTACACAGCTTTCTCTTTTTCAAAAGCTCTACATCAGAAATGATAAAACATTGCTTGAAAACTACAGCTCAGCCACTGGTAGTGACAGTTTGTTTGCAGAGAAAGCACTTTCCCTAGTTGTTTCTCATGGCCAGGTCTCTTTGCTGTTGATGGTGACTATGGATCTTGTTTCTTCTTAAAACACTTTGTGAAGAGGAGGAAATTCAGCTCGAACTTTCACACAGCACAAGAGGTACTATCCCATCAAGTAGCCCCTACAGAAAGAAAATTAATTCAGAGAAAAAGTTAGCAAACATAGGCAGCTCTCCTCAAAAATCAAGAGACAGACAACCTTAAACCAAAACTTAAGACTGCAAAAGCCTCTGCTGATCAAGACTGGCCATCTTAAGTACACATTCCTTCCTCAGTTGATTTTCTTCAATGAACACTGAAAATGCATTAGACTATTCTTAATCCAACTTTGGTAATTGTTTGGAATTTTTGAAGCCCACATCATACTCTAAGAAATGTTTTTTATTTGTCCTTTACACAAACTACATGTGTTAAGATACTCAATACAACCTGATCTTTTCTGACACTTCACACAAATCTGGTCTCTCTTTCTCTTCCATTTCTCTGAAGGCCTGATCTCTTCATGAATTTCAGAATGAGAACTGTTGTACAGACACACATGAACTCAATAAAGCAAAAAAAACCTTATCGCCTCAGTGAAGCAAGAAAATATAGGGTAGGTCCCTATCCAGGTACTGGCTGCCAAGGAACCCATCACTTCTTTGTTATGAAACAAAATTTTTTAAGTATGCTGCAGAGGCAAAAAAAAAAGTATTTAAGGATAGAAGAATGACTGTCACTATTAATTCAACACTTCATGGAGCTACTCCAAAAATTACCTACCAGTACCTCTAAACATCAGGTTTCAGCTATTCTAAATTAAATAGATACACTGAAAAATACAGAGGGGAGAAGGGGAGGGGAGGAGGGGGGGTAGGGGGGGAGGGTGAAATTGGAAAACCTGCACTTGGATTTTGCACAGCCTGAAAGCTACAGTATTTTAACAGTTCCATAGTTTTCAAAGCCCTGCTTTGTAGCTACTTACCTAACCAGTACATACAATGAATTTTAAGGTAAACTGAGCAAGTCAGACTCATCGTATTTTCCAACATACCAGGAACTGTCACCCTTTTTTAGCTACAGCACAATCTTAGAGAAGCATCAAACCTCATTCAAAGTAGCTTGTTCAAAAAAAGCAGTGAAAAAAGCAACTTATATTCAAGCTGAAGATCATCATATTTTCTGTTACTCTTAAATTTAATACAGCACACATGAGCAACAAAAGAGGATAAAGACTGAAAGATAAATAAATCACTTACGGTAATTTCATCCTCATGAAAACTCTGGCCATGAAAAAGCTCAAAAGCACACTAACAAATCCAATAAAGAGCAAAAGAAACCTATTCAACTTGGGAATATTTGGTGCATTGGATCGATCCAGAATTATGAATCCTAGGCCACCCATTGTGAAGAGAAAGCTTGATGCGAGGCCTTCCATAATGTACTGTCCATTTACTCTAAAGGAGAAAAAAAAAGGTGAAAAGAGTCAGAAAAAGATCAAGAAATTATTTACATTTCAAACCCCATCTACTCAACATGCTTTAGCTGTACAAACACACAGGATGATTAACTTTGATGGCTGACTTTCTAACTAAAGCCAGTAGGAAACCGATGTCATACAATTACATCAAGACTTCAATATACAATTTTTGTCCAGAAACAAGAGTCTGCAAGGTGCCCAGTCCAGCACAGAGGAGGATTTATACATATTTGTGCATACCAACAGCTACCACCCAGCTCACTGGTTTGCAAAACCACCAGGAGGTCCCTAGTTATACAGATGGGCCCAAGGCAAGGCACCACAACCACCTTATTTCCATCCCCATGTTTAGGCAGGACTGCCTGAATCCTCCTCTCAGGACAAATTCCTCTCAAAGCGCTATGGCAGCATGTGAAGCACATCTGCTGGTTCCAAAACACATCCTGCAGGATGTTCTGCTGCTTTCTGAGTCTGCATGGATCCATTGCAGGGAGCAGACTGAGGGTGCCCCCTGGGGCTCTCTGTCAGCCCAGACAGCTGGACTCCCTTCTTACAAATAGAAAGAGAAGGAGAGTGAGGAAGATGAGATGCAGAAGAAATACTGCACCTGGATCACAAGTCTCCTGCTTCCCACAGTCACTAAGAAGACATTTTCCTGTCCTCCTAATTAGCAACCTCATAAAACTGGCATTGATGAAACTACAGTGGATGCCCAGACAGAAATAAAGCTTATCATTACTGCCTCATATCCTGGAAACAAACAAGTTTGTCTTCTCTTGTCTTGTTTACACTGACAGATGCTAGCAACTCCCCGCAGCAACTTGATTTGTCAACATTGCAACAATTCAACCCAGTCTGAAACACACGTCTAGTCCAAGACAAAATCCGTCACATCAACTACATCACAGACCTCACAGATTCAACCAACTTTTTGGGTATTTAATAGAAATCATTATTTGTTTCCCCACACATAGACACACCTGCCCACCCCCCCACAGTTTCAAAAGCAGACTTAACTCTCTTCAGACTGGTTTGTTTCTAGGAGTTTCTAGCTCATTTTTAGTAATAGAAGTCAAGGGCACAGCCAAGACCCTGTTGTTACACATTCGTAACAATGTTCCGCACCAGAGTCCCAAGTACACTAGAGTTTAAAACGTAACAAACAAAAGTTTCCCAAACTTTACTTTACATATTCTGCAACAAAAATTGATCTAATGTATCTGCATCCAGTATAAAGTTCAACCTGACAGCCCAAACCAATTTCTTTTTACCAGACCTTTCATTTTCAAAAGTTTTAGGACTAAGTTGTTTGATTTCTGTTGGTTTCAATGCTGGTTTGGTGGGGTTTTTGTAAAAATCAAAAAACAGTTCTCAGCAAACCAAGAACTAATAAAAAGCAACTCCTGCCTTGCAGAGAAAGAAGGAAAGGGAAGGAACAGATGCACAGCTCGGCAAGACAGGGTTTATTCCCCTGAGCTCAGGCATTTGCAGCACGTCGCCAGCGGGAACAGGGCCCTGCTCTTACCTGTATGCCAAGAAAGCCACCGGCCTCTGATGCCCGTGCTCGTCTGTCATCGACCCCACGCTCGGAGGTTCCACGATCACGTCATAGATAATTCCTGCGGGGAGGAAAGCAAGCACCGGCTTTGACTCGCAGCAGCGAGGTTCGGCTGACACCGCGGGCCCGCGGGGGGCTGCCCGGGGCTCGCGTTTTACGGGCGGCTCGGACCCGCACACGGGGTCCCGGTGGCAGGGACCGAAGGAGAGCTGCTCCGTGAGCGGGGCCCCCCTCCGCCCCGGCCTCACCTCCGGTGATGAGGAAGTAGGACACGACCACCAGCGCGTACACGGTCATAGCCGAGGGCATGTGCACCCAGCTCGGCCGCTTCAGCTTGATGTTGGGGCACTCGAGCACGGCGAAGGGCAGGCGGAACAGCGTCTCCATGGCCGCGGGGCGGTCCGGCGGCCGCGGCCCCGCTGCTCCCTCCCGGCGCTGCCCGGTGCCGCTCCGCCACCGACACGAAGGCGGAAACGGAAACGGGCTGCCGCGTCCTGACAGGGAGAAGTGGATCGCTTGCTAAAAAGCGATCATAACACAAAGCACTAGAAACTTGTGACCAGGCTTAAATGACAGCCCAGACTTTTTTTTTGTCTGCATAAAATCAGAGAGACGCCGCCAGTCCGCCGAGGAAGGGTCTCCCAAGCTCACGCCCCTGGCAGGACCCGGCAGCCCTGACGTGTCGGCGCCGGGAGCTGGCTGCGGAGGGGGCGGGGCCGGGGCGGGGCCGGGCGCAGCCACGTGGCCGCCGCGCGCCCGGGCGCGCCCCGCGCGCCGCCGTGCCCGCCGGTCGCTCGCGGGAGCCCGCCCGCAGCACGGGCAGCGCCGGCGCGCAGCCCCTGCACGGGGTACGAGCACGCTTTGCACGCCCTGTGCTGAGGCAGTTTTCCGGCGGGGGAAGGAAAAGCCACGTCCCGCGTGTGACTTTGCACAGTCAGGCTGGGATGCAGACCCGGCGAGCAGACCAAGTTCCGTTGTAGCACTTTACCCCAGTCCCCGTGTTTGCAGGGCAGCGTGGGGCTGGGATGCTCCTTGGGCGCACCGTGGGATTTGGTGCGCGTCCTGACCCACAGCCACAGGTCACCCCTGCAGCTGCACACAGAGCAGGCAGGAAAAGGCACGTCACACCAGCCGCTGCCGACAGCAAGCAGGGTATACCGTGTGTTACAGCCCATCCCACACGCTCCCGTAAGGGTGCACACACCTCATCGGCCCAGCCCAGCCTGGCCCCTCCTGCCTCAGTCCTCAGCTCGCTTAGGAGAGCAGCACCGAGGCGCCACCTCAGAAAAACTCCCCCTTTTGAGTGGAAGCCTCCACGGAAAGGGGCGGGGAAGAACTCTTCACTCCAGCTTCGTTCCACAGCACACACGCCAGCTGAACTCGCACACCTCGCCATGCTACCCAGCCTACTTCCCACTGCACAGGCCTTCCCCAAATGTCTGCCCCATTCCTACACTGCAGCCAACTGCTCAGTTTTAAAATAATTACGGGCCTTATTACTATTTCACTGATACACTCCCTAAGGACTGCTATGATTTCTGCCTGTAGTGGTAATACCACTTCTCCTAACTGTTGCCTTCTGGCGCAATCATGTCACTTATAGCTAGCTGTTTTCAGTCTTACCCTTCCTGTTTTTAAGAATCTCTCTTGCAGTGCCTGTCAACAGATGTTTATGACATTTATCCTCCTTATTCCAAAATTATTCTCCCTCCATCTCTACTCCTTTCCAAAAGCCCAAAGGAAAACTCTCATCTCAGAGCCTTTAATGCAAAACGGGCAGGTTACACACGCCTGCCCTAGTTGCTTTTTTTTCCCCAGCATATTAAGTACTTAAGTTTGTACTACAGCAGAAAAACAGCTAAGGAAGTGTTAACCTTGTAAAGTAACTATAGTAACAGCACCCAAAAATGTTACGACTAGTAATGTTAGTCTCAAAACCTCCTTTAATGAGCTACAGCCTTTGCACCCGAGCTAAGGAGAAATGTTTCACATAATTCAAGCTATAACGTCCATTTTGAGAATATTGAGAATTATTTTAACTCCTTGGGACTCAGTGAAGAAATCCTTGGGGAGGTACAACTCCTTTCACTATGCATGGTATTACCAAGCCACTTATCCTGGACCAGAGCCACCTCCTGCTGTCACACCCAGGAGGCAGCTGAGAGTTGCCAGGCACCTCACCCCAAGCACCAGCTTACTGCCACCAGAACGGCTTTTCAACTTAGCCTTGTCCTCTGTCCCTTGGCTGTCTGTATCGCTGACAGGGTAGGCAGGGTAAAAAGGCAGCATGCACTCAGCAGTGACCTGCACACACATCTGAGCCACAGCCTCAGCTGACTCCACAGGTGACCCTAGGAGCCCCTCACAGCTCCCAGTAAGCCACTGTGCTCAGTTATTATTTCTCTTCCTTCCTTCCTCTCATGATAGAGCTCATTACTTTTTGAAAATATAGTTATTGCTTAAAACCAGGTAAAAATAGATGCCCGTCATATAGTAAAAGCAGTTCAAAGTTCAGAGCTGAGGCATACCACTGCACATACAGGCAAAGCAAGAATTATCCTGACTGGGTTATGACACTCCTGGACAGCATTGAGACAGATTTACAGTTCTCTATGAAACAGAATAAATCAAAACCATTTTCACTTTTTACATTACAATTATATCCTTGATGATAAACCAACTAACTTTGGTTCAGATTTCACTACCAGATGCCCAAATTGCTACTCTAAATCAGGAAGCCTTTAAAGGTCTGTCCTACCTGTGCCCAGGAGCTCTGTTGGTATCGTACCAGTAACTGCTGACCCAGGAAGACCTAAGAGGATACAGCAGCTGCAGCTTTCTTCCAGATCCAGATGTAGCAAAAGGCAACTGTCTCATGGATACAGCACTGGGTTTGAGAAGTTAAAACTATTCTCTCCACCCTCACTGAATAACACCACATACAATTTTTAAAAACTCTACCTGAGACCACTTATACTAGCTGTCCTCTTTTGTTTGCTCTTCTTTTTCAACGTCCGAATTTTCTTCTGAGCCAAGTCCTCCAATGACTTCATAAACAGCTGCTGAAAGAAAACCTGCATTGCTGAAAGTTATTCCAATCCCTTGACATGACTGAGCCTGAGCTGGGAGTCCTGTTCAACCAGACTTCCTTCCAGCTGTTTGATTCCCCTCTCAGCAGGCAGCACTGAACAGAGCATCCTGACCTACAGGTTCTGTTGCAGCAAAACCCAGCTCTGCACTGTACAACCTGTGAGAAGCAGCAGCTCCAATCAGCTTTGAGTCACACATGGAATGACAGGACACAAGAGAAGTGGAGATTTCATTTATTGGGCTGAAACTACAAATAGATTCACTTTGACTTCTGGCTCTGTGCTTGTGCCTTCAACACTTTCACAACGATCTTCTGCTCCTCAATGAGAAAAGCTCGTTTGATTCTGGAAAAGAAAAAACTACTTTAGGATATGTGTCGATCTACTAAAGTAAAAACACAAAAATAAGATGTATTACAATTAATTTTGCCATCTCCTACATTCATTGCATATGTGGTGTTAGTTCCAGTTACATAAAAAGGGAACCCACTGCTGTTCTTGCCAGCAGCAAAAGACAGGGACAGTAGCACTGTATGAATGTAGCAGTTTGGGGATGGCAGCCTACAGTGCCTGCAAATTTAGGCAAGTGGCTTGGAGGCAAGCAAGGTAATACTTGATGGCTGAACATGGGAAAATTTACCATCCTCACAAACTTCAAAGGCAAAAAGCAGAACTCCTAACTGGAGAATTAATTTAATTCTGTTGAAGTCAGAATTGGTGTGACAAGTCATAGTCAGCTCTCTTCCTCAGAACTACAGGAAACTACGTGTATCCAGTTATCAAAACCAGGAATACTTTCCCTGTCAGGATTAAAACTCCTTGCACATCAACAGGGAAAAACCTAGCAGGTCAAGTTGTGCCCAAATACAACTATTTCTGGAAGACCTGTAGGAGAACCAGGTAGATGGGACAGATCTGTGCACCAGCATTCACATACCAACAGACTATTTGACGGTTCTGACTTAACAGCACAAGTGTGCCACACACACTGCTACCCTTAAACATTAAAATGCCTTCTCTAAGTATCTGGTACACATGGCTACTTCTGCAATGCAAGCCTATCAAAGATGCCTAAGCAGGTGCAAGAGAAAACCTAATCATTACAGGAAAGGAGGCAGCTGTAATTTCTGGTTTAGGCACAGTCAGAATAAAACATGCACTAAAAACTACCTACCAAGCTCATAAAGGGTTTGGGAAAACACTCAGAAAAAATGTGGCTTTTAACACAGAAAAGTTATGCTATTGCTCTGCAGCTGTAACTGCTCATCTTTAATGGTACCTAATGTAATTTATCTTAGAACTTACACATGCCAAAAACAAACAAAAAAAAATTGCTGGCACTACAGATGAAAAAAACCTTGGCATAGGACCGCTGACCCCAGAGATCTGCTTTGTTTACCATTCACAGAGATGACACACTCATGGTCATGTTTCTCCTCAAACTTGACAAGGAAGCATAGGATATGAAATTACTACACAATAAAAATTACTTCAGTGAGGCCTGGCAAAGGCTTTAAAACTTAACCACATAAAGCTGTTTAACACACAACCAAGTAATATCTGTGAATCCCAAAACACTACAAAGAAGTGAAAAATTCAATTAAATCTGCATAAGGCAAAACAGGACAACAGAACAATCTTTACTATGAGCAGTCAATTCAAAAGATAAAAACCCAGCATGAGCTGACTGTTTAGTATCACTGCAACAGTGCAGTAAGAAATCCTGAAGAACATGACATCTCCACAAAGGAGCTTCACATGCAGGGAAGGGACAAAATCACACACATCACTGCACCACGTGCCCCACACTCAACACTCTCCATGTCCCAACACCAGTGTCACAAGAGCCTTCAAAGTTTGGGAGAGATGTAAAAATCTTCTAAGAAGCAATCCCAGAAATACAGCTGGCTTTCTGTAAATTACCTGTCACGGACACACTTGGCACACATGGAGCCACCATAGGCTCTGCTAACGTGCTTCTTTGTTTTTGACAGCCTCATCAGAACTTTGGGGCGCACAGCACGGACCTACAGACAGCAAAAAAGAAACAAGTGTGTCACAGGACAGTAGTTTTTTGTATCTGCCACATAAAAACCAACATCACTTTCATAGTTAAAAAAAAAAAAAATCAGCAACACTTGAAGTTTACTATTCAAGATGCTAAAAAGTGACCGAGGTCGCAGCTCATTGCAAGGACCATCTTCAGCATTCCTAAGCTGATCTTTTCATTCCACCACAGGGGCTCAACAAGAGATTCATTAAAAAACTGGTTATAAAAAAGACTGGTTTTTTTAAAGATAGGAACTGCTCAAAGATCAACATGACTCAAGCATTCCCATAACTATTAAAAGCAATGGTGTTACTTCAAGAAAACATTCTG